AGCAGGCCGTGCAGGAGCTCGACGCCATCCTGAAGAGCGCCAAGGCGTGGTGCAAGGACGGTGGCACGTCCTGAACACGTTCCCTTCCCTTCTTCTCCCCTCCACCCTCCTCGAGGCGGAGGCTGGGGGCGACGGCGACGACGACGCGGGCCCATGAATCCCCCGCCTCTCCGTCGACGGCGTCGAGGCGCCGACGACGGAGAGGCGGGGGATTCATGCCCTCGATTCCCTCGTCGATCCTCGGCCAACCGCCCCACCGAAGGAGGTTGGCTCCACGCTCGCGGAGATCCCGAGCATGGCCGAGAAGATGGTCCGCAAGGGGTACCCCGACGCCATGCGGACGTTCCTCGAGCAGAAAGCGAAGACGACCAAGCAGGGCTTGGACACCTTCATCCTGAAGGACTACACGCCCGCGCGCACGCACAAGGACACGCTGAACGACAGCACCCCCGTCGCCGACCCCTGAGGTTCTGAGGATCTCGTTTTCAGATCCGAACGTTTTTGACATCTGTTTTGAGATCCACAGCTATAAACAAGATCCGCATCAAAAAACAATAGAAACGAGATCCAGAGCCATAAACGAGATCCAAACACTTAAACGAGATCCAGCCACTTAAACGAGATCCAAGCTTATAATTCACATACAAAGCATTAAACTAGATCCAAATCCAATACATATGATAATCCAGTCTTTACATGTAAAAAACAAGCGTGCGCGATATAAACACATCGTCGGACAGGTCCGCGTGGTGCTGTGTGAACGGTGCGGTGCGCGTCGGGATGTGTGTGTATAAATGTATATATACATATACACACATACATGCATACATACATATCTGCATAAACATCGGTGCGTTGCGCGCGGTGCTGTGTGATCGCGTAGTCCCATAGCCGTTGCAGTGCCGTGTGGAACCACGTACTCTGTTGCTTCTGGTGTTGTGGCGCGCAGAGCAGCTGGCTCGAACTTTTTTCAAGGATGCCGCCCAATCCCGAGTATGATACGAAACTGCTTTCACACTTGAAAGCGGAGATGAAGACGTCCACGCTGATGCCGTACCGCGAGGACAGGCTTTTAATGGGGACGGGGCCCAAGCTTCGGAACGACCTCCCCCGTTGCCTCCCACTCCTCCCTCCCTCCACGTCATTCTACAAACCTCACCCTGCCTCTCATCGCCTTGATCCGTCTCATCCCCCTAGACCCCCTTCATCTTCCTCGTCTGCGAATCAGCCGCTCGGCGAGCTCAGCGCCTCAGACCCAGGCCGCGGATGCCGAGTGGCTGGCCGCCGTACGGGAGGATGAGGGTGCCGACAAGACAGTTCTCTCCTCCTCCTCCCCCTCCCCCTCCTCCTCCAGCCCTTCCTCCTCCATCCTCGTCGTGACCCTCCTCACCATTCCCTCCATGTGACCATCCCCTTTTCAATGCTAAGGAGATGACTGGGCCAAAAGTCGAAGATAAACTTGAGGCACACTCGAAGCTGCTGCTCGGCATCCCAGTTGGTGAGTCGCAGTCTTACGTTTCTCGGCACTTGGTAAAAGTGGCACATGACAAGGAAACTACGTGGCATCTCGGATCTCAGAAAGTTGAATGGGCAGGCCAACAGGCCAAACGACTGAGAGCTATGCGTCGTGATGTGGACCAGCTTGCTATCAAGGCGAAAAAAAAAAAGGTGGACGACCTGCCAGAATGGCTCATCCCGTTTGTCGGTACACGGGAGGGAAAGGCTGAGCGGGATTTCCAAATCGGTGAAACATTAACAAATATTTCGGAGGACCCCCAAAACATCTGACTGATCCCAGAAACATCTGACTGATCCCAGAAACAGGCTGCGCGGGATTCCGAATTCAGAGAGCTCGATGGCATCCCCAGCCCAGGCTGTCGCTGCAGAGAAAACGGAGTACAACCACCGGTACGATCCGAGTGCGGAGGCGGGTTGGAGTAAAGATTACTACGTGTTTCAAGGGGGAGTGGATGTAGGAGCTGCAAGGGTGGGTGGTGGGAGAACGGTTTGGGGAGGTGGCGGGATGGAGGGGTGGGATGTCGGTGGGCGAACGGCTCACTGGAAGTAGGTCATGGATTGATGGGGGGCGGGCGTCACACGATAGCAATCTCTATTCGAGCCCAGGTGGTCAATCGCCAGGCGCTGCTCGGTGGCGGCAAGCTCGGGCCAGTGCAGGCGTCCAAGCCGCTCAGTGTGCCGCCTGACGCCTCAATGGATGATAATGTAATTGCTGAGTGGGCGGACGGTCACACATGGAGCATCCCGACATTGACATATAGTGACCTGAAGGAGAAGGACACCTCTGGGAAGAAGGGCAGGGTCCAAAACCTCTCGGAGTTGACGCTCGACGGCGTCACCTGGCGGCTGAAGGACGATGTGCAGTACAGGGCGTCCAACAACACGTGAGGGGGGGGGGAAGTGCAGGCTTCATCTGGATGGACGGGTGGACGGAGTGCGACCATTGGGAGCACGGATGGCCTGCGGGAGCAAACGGGGGAGGGGGAGGCGTGAGGAGATGACGATCCTCTGATTCCTCCTCGCTGTCCTCATCCCCTCATCCTTCAACGCTGGGGGACGGGAAGTGGAGGTACACCAACATGCTGCGCGTCTGGAGGTGCGAGGACGGCTGCGGCTCGAAACCAGTGGTCCAGCTGACGACCACCAACTTCGACGAAACGGAGACGGCGGCCGCCATCGAAGGCATGACTGTCATAATGAAGAAGCTCATGAAAGGGGAGCTCGACAAGGACGGTGCAGAGTTGGAGAAGAAGAAGTTCGTCAAGCCGCACACCAAAACTTCCAAGAAGCCCGCCGCCTCCAAGGAGATGAAACGGCCTGCAGCTGCGAAGGTAGACGACGACGACTCCTCCAACAATGGAGCGCCAGAGGCTGCCGAGGAGCGCCCGCCGCCGCAGGCGATCAGTGGGCAGCTCGACGGAGAGGGTTCGGAGCCACTGCCTGAGGAGGCCAAGGAGGCTGAGGAGGCCGATGAGGAGGAGGCTGAGGAGGCTCAGGAGGAGGCAAAGAAGGCTCAGGAGGCTACGACGACTGAGGAGAAAGAGAAAGAGGAGGAGGAGGGCCCTGCCGTGCGCAGCCGCAAGCGCCCAGCGGCCGCTCCACCGGCGCGCCCGAAGAAGGCAGTGACCAAGAAGCAGGCGCCCGAGCAGCCGCGGGTCGAGAATGACCACAGCGCTGAGGACCGACAGTATCAATATCAGGGCTGTCGGACATCAACGATGTCAACGGCATGCGTTGATGTTCGTTGATCTTCGTTGAGGTGTCTGTCCCTTGGAACGGCACTGCGGTCATGATATCAGTATGGTAGTGTGGCGGCCGTGCAATCGTGATGACGGCAAGCGCGGCGGCTGCGCGATCACGCTGATACTAACCCCCAATCGTCGGTAGCAGTTGCGGCAGTGTCATGATCACATGTGATGATGGTGCCAAAAGGGTGAGTGGATCAATGAACGCCCTGAGGAGTCGGATGTCTCCATGGGCGAGCTCCTTGGGCCGACGGAGGGCTCGTTCATCCTGTCGGGCGCGCCCGCGGCCTCGAGCTCGAGGAGCGCAGCGTGGCTGGAGAGACTTCGGCAGCAGCACGGATTGTGAGGGGGCTCGGGGCTCTCATAATTCTACATAGGTCGATCTCGTGTTCTCTCGTAGGCGCGTGCGCTCGATTAGCAATCGATGCAGGAAGCAAGAATTCTCAGAGGCTGAAGCGTCACAAAACAACACTCAGACCATTAAGGGGTGAGATGGGGCCGCTCCAGTAAATGCACTTTGTACCGCGCCCGAACAGTGCACCCGAGATCACTGCCGACAGCTCCAGGGAGTGAACTCCAAGTCGATATGGAAAAACACATTCGCACCAAAAAACACTAGCTTAGGGATTGACGATGCGGATCAATATGCGATGAAAATCAGGAGCCTTTACACGTGTAGGTCGTTCTGGGTCAACCGTTTGCCTATATCGGTCCGAATGCATTACTGCCGAAAGGGTTCGGCCCCTTGGCATCGTAAGTTGACCCCTGGGGCGTTGCTGCTGCCAGCATGACGGACGCTGCCGCCATGGCGGAGGCTGCCGCGTCGATTGTCCGCCCAAACCGTCACTCACTGGGCCTGCGGGCGGGGCTGGGTGGAGGGTGGAGGTGGATATGAAATCTCTGGGTTTGTGGACTCGGGTCGGGGTCCGAAAGTTGACAATGGGGGCAGAGGGGGTACCGCGGGCCGTGGGGTATGGTTTGGGTGGAGTTTGTCAACAATCGATGCCAGAAAGGCTGTGCCCCTCGACGTCGACGCGAAGGAGGAGGAGCTCGAGGAGGCGGATGTGGAGCCTGGGGAGGTTGATCCACAACCTGGCGCCGTACTACCAGGCGTCCCCGAGGTCCCATCGACCGATGCCGACGAGGCGCCGCTGGTCGCCGCCCCCGCGCCCACCTCGCCACTCAGTTTGCTCACTGGGCATTGCGCGGAGCCGAAGCCCGCGGCTGTCAGCGCGCAGATCGACGGGGTGAACGTGGCGGCGGCCCTCGGCAGCGACAGCGTCCTCGACGGCGTCAATATCAACCTGGACTTGGAGGCGGCCCTGTGTCGCGAGGCGCTGCATGGGTGGTCAACAAAAAGATCTAAGATTTCTTGAGGAATGGCGGTGGCTCCTAGGAGGATGACGACGATGGGGCTGGGGAGGATCGGGGGCGAAAGGAAGGGCCAGGGGAGAGAGGGAAACCCCTCAGCCCAATTCCCTCCCTCCCACCCCCCGCAGTTCATTGCCCCCCCCCCGCTTCTCCTCATCCTCCGCCATCCTTGATCTCCACTCTTGTCTGACCTCCTCCGTCCCCCATTGTTGCTCACCCACTCTCCGCATCCCCCCCACCCCTCCTCCTCCCGATCCCTCCCTCCTGTCCCCTCCATCCTGCCTCCTCCCTCCACCAATTCGTTTTCAGTACACCGCTCTCCAATCAGTCACCCCTCCGTTTTTGTTGCATCACCCTCAGCCCAAGGCCGAGTGCCTGGTGAACGAGTGCGACAAACTCCAGCCTCGCACCGAGGAGGAGCTGAAGGACATCTTCGTCCAGAAAATGAATCAGCGTTACGCAGACGCCGATGTGAACAGCATGGCGAGCACGGACGTCGGCACCCTGGGAGACTTGAGGGACTGCGAAGAGGATGAGGAGCTGCCAGCGTATTGGGCCCAAGCGAAGGAGCAGAACTTTCGCTTCAACGCGCGGGGGTCCAAGGGGAACCCCATGGGCGGCAAGTGGCAGCGCTGCATCAACAACCCGAAGAACGCGGAGGAGAAAAAGCAGTACGAGGCGAAGAAGGGCGACACCGAAGCGCAGCAGCAGCATCGCCAGCAGTGGCTGAGGAAGAACTTCGACGTCTTCATGGAGACCCACCAGCATACCAAAGCCAAGAAGAAGAGAGAATACTCCGAGGCGCGATACCTCGTAGCGGGGAGGGTTGTGGTTGAGGAAGGCGGCGGCGCTGAAGGATGCCGCAACGCGGCAAATTATTGCCTTAAATGTGTCGCAGTAGGGTTTCCATGGGTGAAATGGTGCTCGTGGCGAAAGGCCGCACTCTACTTGTACAAAACAGAAGGCATCGAGGAAGAGGTGACTGAGACGTGGGAGCACACCAAGAAGATGTACCTGCAGAGGCAGCTGAAGAATATGAAGGCGCATCCAGATGCGAAACACACCCTCAGCCACCACCAATTGATTTCTGTGTCATCGGGAGGGGTCGATCGAAGCAGGATCATCGAATGGAGATCGCTCAACGATGCCGATCGGTCTCACGGATCGATCGTCTCGATGCTGCACATCCTTTTGATGATCGCGCCCCCTGGCCTTCCATGCGAGGACGCAGGCGCAACCCACGTGACGCAGGTGACGCAGGCGCAGCCGTCCGAGGAGCCAGTGCAGCCGAGGAAGCCCGCGGCGCTGGAGGAGGAAACCGCTGCGGAAGCCAACGGCGCTGGAGGAGTCCAGGCGGGCGCGGCGGCCTCGAGCAAGGCCGCTGGCGCGAGCAAGGCCACTGGGCAGCAGGGCAAGAGGGGGCCACCGAGCAAGGCCACTGGGGGCGGCGCAGGCAGCTCTCGTGGTGGCGGCCGCGGCAAGGCCCGCCGCACCGTGAAGGTTGAGGAGGAGGAGGAGGATAAGGGAAAGCCTGAGGGGGAGCCTGATGAGGATTCTGAGGATCCCGAGCCGCCCCGCAAGAAGCCAAAGAAAGAACCAACCCTTGCAGCCAAGTGCATGGCAGCCGCTAAGCTGACTAAGATGAATAGCAGCGCGGCTAAGGTGTCAGCGCAGTCAGTCCTCACTCAGATCAACAGGGATCCAGGCTGGTCCTTCGCAAAGGAGATGCAGAACGCCCTCAAGCCGATGCAGATCGCCCTCAAGCAGTTGGACGACATGGAGGCTGACCACGATGTCTTCCCGTCGATCGTCTCTTCCAACGACCTCTCCGCGCTGCGCGCCGAGTGGAGCAAGAAGAAGAAAGTGGACCAGTTCGATCGCTACCTCGCTGAATTCAGTGAGAAATTCGACCCAGTCGTGCGGGCCCTACAGCTGGAAACCCGCATGCTCACCAGCCAGAAGCTGGCGCGGGACCAGGAGATGGAGCGCATCGCCAAGCCGAAGCGCTAGTGGGTGCTCGAGCTGATCATGGGAGCGATGCTCGCGTGCTCTGGCAGGCGAGCCCTGGTCAACTTTCCTCCTCCTCCTCCTCCTCCTCCTCGTCCTCCTCGTACACCTTGTCCTGCCCAATTCCCCTCAACGTCCACACCCTCAATCATCATGCTCATCTTCAAGCTCGTGTTCGTCGTCCGTCCAGCAGGCGCGTCCTCGGCCGTCTAGTCATCATCAATGCCCCTTGCCATTCTCTCTTCACGCCCTGCCACTCTGTTTATTCACCACCCCTGCAACCGACACAAATTATGTTGATGCAATTCCTGGTCGCCATCCTAACCCTCCTCCTCAATGTCGTCCTCGCCGTCCTCGTCGCCCCCACCCGCCATTCCCATCCACTCCTCGCTGTGCCAGGCGATTACGGGCACTACATCGCAGTGAAGCAGAGGGTGCGACTACATGTGCTCTCGCAGCTGCGCGGCTCACTGGGAGGGGAGGCAAAACACACGACGAACGCAAACGGGGAGGACGGGCTCGAGGGTGAGGGGGGGGGAAGGGCGGGGGGATACGGGAGCAGGAAGGATGAGGTTGGGAAGGGGGAAATTGTGAGGAGTCGGAGGGGAGGAGGGTGAAATCTAGGAATTCTGTGCTTTTGCCATCGGTTCCTGGAAAATCTAACGAGATTTCTGAATTTCCATGCGCGGGAAGATTTTCTTGAAAATCCGAAGCCCCGCAACCGCGCGCAACCGTTGACATGCCGTTGAGCCCCCGTTGAGCCTCGGTACCGTTGAGCTTCGTTGACCCCTGCTCAAACCCTGTGTTTTTACAGCTAAAGTGCTCCCCCGAAGCCGCGTTGAGCAGCGTTGAGCCCCGTTGAGCCCCGTTGAGCCCCCGTTGAGCTTCGTTGAGCCCCCAGAATTTTTGAAAATCTGTGGAAATATTGGTGCGGGCTGCGGGGCTCAACGAAAATCAACGCATGTCAACGCCAAGCGTTGATCTCGTTGAGGCCGGCATGGTTGGGATATGTTTTCCAGGATCTGGATCTGAAATCGGCATAGGCAGCATCTGGATTTGGAATCTGGAGTGGGCGAGGCTGCACCAGTGGGTTCGAATTTGCTGGAAGTGTGATTCCTCGCGAACAGACACAGATTGCAATGAATTTGAGTCATCACGTGTGCGGGGTGGGGTCTGATACTGCTACAGATGTGCTAAGAGCTCCGACGCCAGGTACCTGGGGCGCTGCATGAGGCAGCTATCTTTCTCGTGCCCGCGCTGACGAAGGGCAGCCCGCACGCCGCATGCTGGGGGGGTGGCTTTGATGGGAGTGGAAATGGCAGGGACGCACACACACACACACACACACACACGCATGCACGTGCGCCAGTGCTCCAGGCTAGTAGCTAGGCGCCCAGTCGGGCGAGCATTTTATAGTCAGCAGACTGCCGATCGAATGAGCGAGGAATCTAATCTCGACGCGTCCAAGGTAAAACAAACATGTCGTTTCTACGACGTTCTGGATATCAATGCCATTAAAAACTGCATACGCTGATGGTTGGGGAAGGACCTCTGTGACGACGTCATCGCTTCCATTCTTTCAGAGCGGATTCGGATTAGCATATGACAGGGATCTGGCTTCTCACTGGAAGGGGTCTGGCAGGGGTCTGGCTTCTCACTGGAATGCGGGGGCAGAGGTTCCTCTATTTTGGGGGGGGGGGGGTGGAAGCTGCGGGCCATGAGCAATTGAGTACGCCATCGCGACAAGTTTTGGGGTGTGGGGCGAGTTGCATGTGTCTCTACCGATCGGCAAAGATTCTGCTTGAGCGCATGCGATGTTTAAGCTTGCGCTTCTCCCGCAGCTGAAGTGGTGACGCTGGCTGCCACCATCATGAATTGTCGTGATGCATGCCACTGCTGTGTTTGTCGAGTTCATGTGTCCACGCATCGGAGTCAAGCAGTGCACAGTCGTCAGTCATGCATCGATGGTGTCTGCTCTCGTCGTCGGACCGCTCCGCAGACGTCTTGCATCGAGCACGCGTCAATCCAGTGGCCACCTTCCGATTCTGAACAAATCGTTTGTCTCTGCGAGTTGATGGCCGCCGACATTAGACCAAACAAAAAACGCAAGATAAATATTCTTACATTGGAACAGTACGTCCCAGAGTACGCGAAGGCAGAGTTCTCGGAGTTCACTGAGGAGATCAGACAGGGGGGGGCCTTGCTTCTCAAACAACTCAAATCGTTGTACGCAGTTGGTAAACTTTCTGCACAAGATTTCGGGATTACATGTCATTACGCTCACCGGGCAGGGTGCGTGGGGGGGGACTTCGGAAAGTACAGTATGCCACCAGGCTGGCAATCGGGTAGGTACCAGCGTGACCTAGACAAGCTGCTACAAGACACACAACTCTACGAACACATTATGGTACCCAGGTGTCAACCGAAAACCAGTCTTGAAACAGATTTCCGCTTGCAAGTATCGCTGGTGTTCGAAAGCATCGCGGACGAAGTCAGGAATGCACCGTCCATGCTCAGCGAGTGCGCGGCCACAAATTGGCCGCAGGTTTACTATGACCACCCTGTGTATAGGAAGTGCCAGGCCGAGAACAAGCCGCCGCCCCTTGCACTAGGCATCTACACCGACGGCGTTCGGTACCAGTCCCCTCTCTCGGCGAACTGCGACACGATGACGGGGTACTGGATAGTCAACATGACCACGCACAAGAGACATTTACTCGGCATTTGGCGAAATTCCCTCAATTGCAGGTGCGGGTGCAAAGGATGGCACTCGACGTGGTCAATACTTAACTATACCCAGTATTGTTTGCGTGCCATGGCTAGGGGAAAACGACCAAGAGTAAACGTATCTGGGGAGGAGTGGGCGAGCGACCACATTATGTCGACTATGCTAAAAGAGTACGGCGAGAACCTAGGCTTCTGCGCCTTGGTGGGTTGGTTGCGGGGGGATTGGTCCGACGTGAACAAGACGCACGGCGTCCCGTCTGTTTCCAGCAGCAACAACCCGTGCCCATTCTGCCAATGCACGCGTGAGGACATGCACGACCACTACAAACTGATATCCTTAGACTTTCTGCCCTGGGAACCCGTGCGCCCAGGTGCGTATAAGCAGTTTTGTGTTCAGAGCACACACCATGTTGAAGTTGACACGCCAGAGGTTCACGAGAGGATTCGTGGCTGCATAGTCTTCAAGGCAGGGAAACGCGACCACGGCCCTGCGCTGGACAGGGACGTCGACGAGTTGAAGCTACGCGCAGGTGATGTGTTGCTGCCCTCTAGCACGCTCCCCAACCCGCAGAACTTGTACGATGCATCGCTTCCGTTCACAGCATCTTTTTGGCGAAAAGGAGAGGATGTGCACGGTGTCAGGCGGGGGCCAGCAGTGTACCCAAACCCAGTGTTCACCGACCCCGAGCTGGGAATTGAGCCATCATCATCCATCGCTGTAGATATCATGCACACCCTATGCTTCGGCCTCATCATGCGAATCGCATCCACCATACTATGGAGAATTATATTACTCAACCCGTGGGGGAGCAGGGGGGGTAAAGAATCCCGCATTGAGGCAAACATCAAGCACATCCGTGGTCGGCTGTTCGAGTGGCAACACGATGCATGCATACCTAGTGGGTCACGCATTGGGGATCTAACTGTATCCACGATAGGTGGTTCGCCAGATGACTCAACATTGATCGACGGAGTCCACGTGGGCCAACCGATGAGATTGAAAGCTTATGAGTGTTTGATAATGCTACAATTTTGCATCGAGTTGGTCAAGGAGCATGTAGGCATACCCCATCACAGAGACTTGAAAATTGCTGCAGAGGCGATCTGGGATTTCTACAGTTCGTTGAAGCTACACCCGATAGTGGTCCCGAGGGAAGCCGAACAGGGGCTCTTCGATAGCGTGGTGTTGTGTTTATCGAGATGCGAGCGTGGTCGTGTACATTTCGTACCCAAGTTCCACTTCGCAGCGCACCTCGTTCTTCGGACCGTTTTGGGGTTCAAAGGAAGGCATCAGACGATCGCCCAAATGCGACCTGCTACGCACAAGGGTTTACGGAAGTGCATGCAGGAAGCGTTGGGAGACTGCTGCGTGCCATCCAGAGGGCGAGCATTGGGGGGACGGGCGGCCCAGGCAGGAGGGAATGTGCCCACCGGGGGAGGGGGGGCAAGGAAGGCGGAGGGGGGGAGGAGGGAATGCGTCCACTGGGGGAGGGGGATCGGCGCCCCCCTTCAGGATTCGGTGGCATGGGAACCCCACGGCATACGCTGTCTGGACAGACGAATCGCTCAACTTATTGTTCCGCACAGCTGCAGAGCACGCTCACCAACAGAAGTTTGAGTTTCGCATTTTTCGGTCGTTCAATCTGATCTCGCAGCTCGGGCTCGATGCCAGGATCTATTGCCCCAAGGACAATTGAGCATCCATTGATCCTGATGGCGGCCCCAGCGTGGTTGGTCCAGCGAGCCGAGGAGCTGGCTGTGGCGAATGGTGGCGTTGCTGAGCACGCAATGCTGCCTTGCGCCATCGACTCCAGCAAGATGGTCAGCATGGCTTCAATGGAGGTGCTGAGCTGGCCCGACATGAATCGCAAATTTGACCTCGTTATGCTTTTTAGTGGCGCTGCAGGGGCGGCCCGTCTGGCAGCATCTCAGGGGGTCGCAGTAGCAACTTACGACAGGGAAGACCACTGCCACCAGAATATCTCGACACTCCTGGGCACGCTGTTCGCGGCATCCCTGGTGATGTCCACTCGCGCTAATGGGCTGGTGTGGTGCTCCCCAGAGTGCAAGACGTGGCTAATTTTCTTGTGCCGATCGACCTACAGCCGATCCCTGCGCGGGTGGAACGTGTTAGGGAACGGCGCTCCTGATGGGGACGCGGCCAATTCATCCAGCCTGGTTTTGGCGTGGCTCCTGAACCTCTGCTTCCTTCAGCAGCTTCGTTTTGCAGTCGAGCAGCCAGTTAATTCGATTCTGTTTTCCGCCCCTTGGATTGC